TTTGAACTCCTCCTTAGTGAGGCTCAAGAAGCGCAGTTGAGGAAAGTTAGAACCCCAGTACAAAGAGAGATTCTGTACAAAGCTGGGCAGAACCTAAATAAAAGAACATCTGAGAGGAGCTAAACTGGGGCAGGTAGTCAGGATCCTGAGATAGGGATAGCCCTGACAACTGAAAAGGGTTATTGAGGAAGAAGGAAATAGCATGTTGAGCGTAGGAGTTCTAGAATTGTCCCATAACCCTTGGAGAAGTCAACAGTCATTGTCCCCAACCAGATGGCAGTGTCAATTTTTGTATCGATTTCCACAGGCTAAATGTGTTGAAATGTGATGCTTACCCCATGCCCAGGATAGATGAACTGCTAGAGAAGCTGTGGGAATTGAAACTTCTCACTTCTTTAGACCTCAGCAAGGGGAATTGCCAAATTTTATTGAGGAAGCAGAATAAAGGGGTGGGGGAGAAAACCCCCAACTTTCCCAATGATCAAAAGGTTTCAGTTCGCTCACACACCCTTTGGGTTACCTTGGGTTACAGCCACCTTTCAGAGGCTAACGGACAGCGTCCTGTACAAGATTTTGCATTGGGGTACGTAGACAATATGACAATTTTCAGCATCTCTTGGGAAGAACAATTTTGACATATTACAGTACTTCTGAAAGAGCTGTGAAAGGCTGGTTGGACAGTCAAACTCCAGAATTCCCCCAATGCGTAAGGTGCTTTCTCTCATCCTAGTAGCTAAGTTTAAACTGGGCCCCAGACGTTTGCTGGTGATTTGGCTACATATATTTCCAGACACTTCACCGTGTAGAGGTTCTCCTATGCTGGAGACCAGACTGCGAAGGAGCAGATGGGACCGTTTCTGCTGGATCCGTCGGCAATCTTACTGAGAACCAAGAAATCTCACTGAAGTTCAAAACTCAAACTATCTCAACAAAACAAGAAGTTCGATGAGTGCAAGAAAATAGCTTGTGAAGAAGCCTGGAAGAATTCATGAAGACCTTGCACTGAGAGACACTCGTTCTATCTTACAAAGCCAGGTCTTTCCTTTTTATTTCCCCTTCTTGCGTCAGATTTGGCCATTGGGTTCAGAGATTGTTCCTCCGTCTTGCACAGAGGCATTGCAAGTTAACTCATCTATTTACAAGGTTATATACGGATCCTGAACAGGACCACGCGCTGAGATGGCAGGAGGATGTTCAACCCTTCCTCCTCTGAGGGTGGGAGAGAGGGAGAAGCTGCAGGGGATGGACGATGGAGGCTGCATCCATCTACAATGGGTCTACTGTGTCGATCCTTGATTCCTTGTGCCTGGGTACAGAGTATGTACTTCTGGACAAAGGCCCTCAGCCTAAGGTGGTCAGATGTGATGGAGATGATGCTCCTCCAATACAGTCATGCCCCTCTTAACGATTACCCTGCATTACAATGAATTTGCTTAACGACAATGTTTTTGTGATCACAATTGTTAACACAAAATGATAATTCCAATGGGGTTTTTTTGCTTCCCGATGATCGGTTCCCTGCTTCGGGAACCAATTCTTTGCTTAACGATGATCAAAACAGCTGATTGTCGGGTTTTCAAAATGGCCACTGGGTGCTTAAAATGGCTCCCCGCTGTGCTTAAGGACGGATTCCTTGCTATACAGGCAGCAAAAATGGCCGCCATACGGAGGAGCTTCGCTGGACGGTGAGTTTTTAGCCCATTGGAACGCATTGAGTGGTTTTCAATGCGTTTCAATGGGTTTTTAATTTTGCTTTACGACATTTTCGTTCTATTGTGGTTTTGCTGGAACGAATTAACGTTGTTAAGCGAGGCACCACTGTAGTTATGCCAAATAAAGAATCTAAGCAATTGTAGCCTATCATTTAGGGGCCAGAACCACTCTACTTCTCAAGGTTCCTTCTTTTTCACAACTCTGATAAGAAAAACACGATTGTTTTTCTTTGCTCTGACTGTCCTTTGAGAAGAAATTCCCAATAATAAAAGCTTCTGATGGCTCCCCTTGGAGAGGAAAGACTCCCCTTTATGAGAGATGTTTGAACAGAAGTTGGATGGCCATCTGGTGAATCCACAGCTATGGATTCTTGCACTAGGAGGGGGTCAGACTAGATGACCAAATTCATACCCACAGATTGATTTTTTTCCCCCCATAAGTTGTCATGGAGGAGGACAACCGATCCCTCAACA